ATATATATATATATATATATATATATATATATATATATATATATATATATATATATATACACACGTAACGGCGTAGAATAAAATCACGAGAAAAGGAAATGTCGGGCGATGACGGCAAAACGTATATCGATCTCCAGGTACAACGACCCAATTCCGTGGGCGTCTATGTGTCTGGCAACGGCTATCTCGCCGACCTTTACACGAATATCGTAAGAGCCTTTGCACCGCGTATCAAGGATACAGAGATTGACACGACACCCTGCCTTCCAGATCCCATACCTCCCGATCTGGACAGGTACACGCAAATTGCGACGCTGATTGTCTTCTGCTGGATCATGACGGTATTCGAACCTTACGGATTGAGACTGCGGCACGTCGTCATGTGCAAATATCATCCGGATCGAGCCAAGCAAAGAGCCGTTTGGCTGTATAATCATATTCTTAGGTAACGTACTATTGATCGACCAACGAAGGTATACACGCGTGCACACACACACACGACCATCAAATAGCCTTTCACTTGGTACAATAAGCTTTCCACTTTTACATTTCTACGTTTAGCACTCAACTTTTGGTAATGTACACTTCTTCCACATGCAAATCGTACCAACCGACTCAAACTTGTGCAGATCGAGAGGGAGTTTTCTCAAGTTTGCGCGGCGCCAATTGCGCCGCAAGTTCGGTATGGGTGAAAATCAGAGAATTGAGAGGATCACGTTTCGAGAGCGATGCCTGGCGATTTGCCCGCTCCTGAACAAGTTGTTCCCTCAGAAGCAGAACACGTGCCTCTTGTGCGGTGCTGTGGAGCGTTCCGATCAGGAACCGCACATTAAATGCCCCACGCCCGGCTGTGTCGGTCTCTTTTGCACGCGGTGCTTCGTAGACTTGCAGAATATCTGCACGATTTGTCGATCGCCCATCGAGTACGGCGATTTGTCGGATATGAGTGAGGAAAAGTAAGGTTCGACAACTACATGTTGCGCTACTTTGACTAATATGAGTGTAAAAATATCCACGATATCCACGAAATATTTTAATAGAGATTCATCTGACGTTGAGCCATTGATTACGAAAGAAGAACCGGCGCCAAAAGTCAAACTAGAGGAACCAGCTATAGTAAGGCCTGTGTCGATAGCGCGGGATGAGGAGCCGGTTGTAGAACAGCTACCCGAGGAAGAATTCAAGGTGGAGGAAATAATACTCGAAGAAAAGGAGAGAGAAAGAGACAAAAGTATAGCCGTGGAAAAAGAGGACAAAATCATACAGAGGGATGACTACGTCGCTGACAGTAGTTTGAGTTTGGTCTGTAGTTGTAGTACGTAAGTCAATGCGGCGTATATGCGTTGCAAATGCGCTGCTTTTAGATATCGACATAGAGTTTGTGCCAATCGAATTGCAAAAAGCGTCACGCACAACTTGTGAGACTCGGCGCGATGAGAGTAATCATCGATACCTTATTCGATAACTTTTACCAGCTTATCAAGACGAATCGCCGCGAAGGATTCAAGTCGAGCATCGTAAAATGCCCTTCAAAGACATCGAAGCGCAAAAAATACGAGAAGACGTAACGATACAGGTGAGATGTTGCATTTTTCGCCAAAGTAAGCCCGGCTACAGCGAATGCATATCGATTGTTCAATAAAAAAGAAAAGAAAAGAAACAGCTAGGGGCGCGTTCCGTTACACGCTCGCAACGCTCGCTAGCGTCATTCTATCTTTGTTGCTCATGGATGTTAAACAAAGATAGAATGACGCTCGCGAGCGTTGCGAGCCTGTAACGGAACGCGCCTTAGGTGGTAGGTAGTAGTCAGTTTACTGCATGAATTACTATCGTACATTGAGAGATCTATGCGGTGAACACGTTTAAAGTGAATAGAAAAGAAACGAGTGCTCGAATTTAAACTTGAATTCAAGATGCAATACGCTGCCTCGACAGCAGCGCCAGGCTCAATAATCGATAATCAGAACTAAACGGTTCGATTCAGATTTTCAACGATTCACTGGCGAAGGAAATCACTTCGAGCAGCGAGGATCTAACATCCTGTCTCGTGGTAAAAGCTCGTAGGAGGCCGCGATCGAAGAGGAAATCCTGCTCTTGCCCGCGCAAGGACCATTTCAACTCGTCTACGTCGATAGCGGATACCGAGTCCTGGCCGACAGAGGAGGTGGATGAAGAAGAGACGATTCACATCGAGATGGATGACAGTTCGAAGGAATTGCTCTTAAAAGACGTCGCTGCTGAAAGAAAGAGTCGCGCAAGAAGAATCGTCGCTGCAATCGCGAGAATTCCTTGGCTCGGAAGGAAATCGGTATTATTGTTAACTACGAGATATCTACTTGAATTCAAATCAGGCTGCATTTACACGCTCTGTTCGCGTGTTTACGTACGGCGAACTTTTCGTCTCTTTTTCTTAAGGTTGATCAAGACAACGGTGCAGAATGGCGGCGAACGAGGAGACCATCTGTCATCGACAAGCTAGCTGGAATACTTCCGGGAAATCAATCCATTTCGCCTGTTCGAACGTGTCGACGAGTACGTGTTACGAAAAAGGAAGCGAAGCGTGACGACTCCTCCGCTACTTCGTCTTCCTCAGACAATGAGAATGAGCAGAGCGCGCTCCTAGAGACGCACGATCGGCAAGTAGATCGTTTGCAAATTTCAGACAGGGACGATTTTCAAGATAATATTTACAGCAGAAATTACGATTCGCATCGTGAACGACGCGGAGCGTTTTGTCGCCGACCGGGTCTTCGCGCGAGAATCGACGACGTCAATCCGAGATATCCTCGCGAGAAGAAATTCACAACGAAACAATCGCCAAGGTATGTATCCGAAACGATAATCCATGCCAAAGGAAACGTCAATAAGTGAAATAAACATGCGTGCGATTATCGTGTCGACTATCGTGAGCATTCGCATGTTATGTAGATATTTGCAGTCGCTCTCTCAAGGTACTGCGTATTGCGAAGTGGACGAGATTAAAAGCTTGCGAGAACCAACACACGTTCACGACGTTCCATCGGACATTACTGCTCCGCGAAAATTTTGCGACATGGCAATGTTAGTTAAAAAATATAAAGACATCGTGGAAAAGGGAAACGAGAGGCTATGCTAATAGAAAGGTTCTGCTTCATTTCGTAGCTGAATAATAAGCGAACGTTATCAAATTCGGGAGAATATCACTGTCTGTTTCAAGTTTATAAATAACATCTACTCTCGTTATCTTCTGCCGCGTTTTAAGACAATTAAACAATCTATCGCGAAGATAATGCCAAGTTATGACTACTCTGATTAACAGCCTCATCGTGTTTGTCGTCGCGACGACCGGTATACTTTACGCGCTTCTTATAGATGTTACGGAAATCAAAGTTTCGGAAATCCTGTTTCAACTGATGCGGATGTTCGTTCATCGCGGCTTACAAAAATGAGGCAGTCGAATAAAGTAGCGATGTCTTGTCGATGTTGTATGACATGAATGAGACGGACAATAATTCGTACAATAAGTACGCTAATCAGGTTTTAAAGAGACACGAAATGTTGCATTTACTGTAGTCCAACGCGAAGAAAGTTGCAGCAAACAGGGAGAAGAAAATATGACACAGTTACGCGGAAGAGCAGACCGGAAATACCTATGCTGAAGAAATATCTACCTGCGTATCAAACGCCAGAATTAATGGAAGAGCTGAAGGAGCACGACAGAACGAGATTGATTCAAGAACGTGAAGCTAGAAGATGGATGGCTTTGAGCGCTCTTCGAGATACGACAGAGTCTCCTCCGTTTAGTGCCAAATCGAGAGATCAGACGTCTCGCGATACTTGGGTGAGAAAAAACAATTTTTACTGTCGTATTGTGTGAAAGATGAACATATAGGGCCGTCGAGTATTATAAATCTCAAGTCTTTTTGACGCAACACATTAACTTTTCAAAATATGAAAAGAGAAGAAAATAGATTCTTTGATCCGAAATATGCATATACCTCCTTAATAGATTAGACGAGATGCAACTATACATGGCATGCGATTGAACGACAGACAGACTGTACGAATAAGCACTTTAATCGTTTTTTAACTTTTTGTCTCAAGGTCTCTGCGACGAGGTTAAGCGAGGGAACTGTTGTGCATCCACTTCCGTATCAGGAAACTCAAGCATTCAAGGATGTATTGCGTGAGCTTCGAAACAAGGTGGCTTCCAAGCGGCCTTCAATACTGTCGTCTCAGCGCGCAGACAAATGTAAAGAATTGAAGCAATTATTTCCTCCTTCCGAAAGCGAAGCGTCGTAGAAGAGTGACGTCAAAATTTGATGAAGCAATAAATCAAATCTTAGTTGTATAATTGTTATATACTTGCGAGAAATTGAACAGATATTAGGAAAGCTGAGATGGGTTGTGCGTGTAAATTATATTCTTATAACCTCGACTTAATTGCGAAACATGAAACTGCTCGATACGTTGACAAGCAACGTGGAAACTAAAGTAAGCTAAATTGAAATTATACTGAGAGAAAAATCTTCGTTTTTTTAATCAATGGATATATTGTTCAAGCGGTACGATATATACGATCAATTTCGGAGCTTTCCAATCAAGTGTTATCTGATAAAACAACAAGGATTTTCACATTAAGTAAATAAATAAATAAAAGGAACGATATCTGATGAGAGAAAATCATACAATAAAATCAACCAGGTATGTTGCAATCAAATTTCAGAGAATTGAACGGAAAATTGAACGGAAATGTCAGTTTGTTAATTTTTCGTCGACATATTCGTATTTATTAAAGAATATTTATCGAATATTTCTCTTAGCGTACATTTTATACGCTCGCTGCTGCCTTTCTTGCACTATTTGGTAAAATCTATGTAATTGATATTGCGATATTTAGCATTAATTGTGTATAGTAAGTATGAGAGAACATGCGATACAAGCTGTTTCGCGATCACCTTAGCAAGGATCATCGATCTGGTGTTTCGATTCTGAAAGTACATATAATAACGCGATTATAAGAAATGTGTACTGATATAATGACGTGGGAAGAAATGACAAATGCGTATTGAAGTTGTAAATGTGTTGTAAAATCACAAAAAAATCGCTAAAAATCACTACTTTTCTATGTGCGTGTCAGAATAAATTAAAAGATTTCAAAAAATCTATATCATATATACGATTGTATGTGCGTAAGCAAATAATATGCAGCTCCGTATCTCTCTGAAAATTACATAAAATGATCGACTCAGCAAAGACAAATAACAGATTCGTTATCATTAGTACAGACCGTTGCGATGCTGATATTCGAGCGACTGAATAATGCATGCTGGATTTGCAAGTTTGCGCGAGTCAAGGTTGTCGTCGTGTAAAAATTGACGCAGTAATACAGTCCTTGATGAGGAAAGACAACTTTTCTGCGAAATTATGGATACATTACCGTAAAGGTACGGTCATTGAGTAAACACGGTTGACTTCTAGAAAGCCATTTTCTCCATATGTATATGTAACATCCAATTGATAAGGCATGAAGGCTGAGAATCATTTTGGAGAATCGGTACCATCATTTTTCTTTTTCCTAAATTTCTAAATCTTTTCTATTTATTTTAATTATCGAGCCAGCAGGCGAGCGTCCCTCGACAATTGGAGAAATAACCAATCAATCTCATAAACTTTTTATTTCTTTTCAACCTTTTATACCTTTTATACCTTTTTTACCTTTTTTTTATTTCTTTTCAACCTTTTATTTCTTTTCTACATTATCATTTTACAATGGCTGCGTTCAGCAGAGAAAGCTGCTTTGCAACTGTTGTAAAATTCGTGAATCTGATTGGTACATGCTCTTGGATTCAACCAAAATTAAGAGCATACTTCAATCAGATTCGCGGATTTTACAACAGTTGCAAAGCAGCTTTCTCTGCTGAACGCAGTCATTATCTCCTCACTCGCTGCCAGTATGACACTTAACCAAGTAGTTGAAATTGCAAAGTATGATTGAAGCTATAACACGTAAGAAGAACACATTGCATACGTCGCATATTTACGGTAGTCGTAAAACATGAAAAAGATTCGCATCATGAGACATAATAATGGGATTAGCCTGTTGAGTTTATTCAGTCAGAGACGCTTGAGACCAAAGATTGGAAAGAGCAAAGCTCTCTCAAGTGTAGGCTCATAAAGCGCAAGGACAGTTCTTGTTTTTTGAGATTCTCAGTCGAGGAAGTTCAGGCATGACACTTTTCACGCAATATACGTGTATTCTCACAATGTGTACGACTCAAATGTGACTCATCCTTTTTATCCTTTTCGTAAAGACCACCGTTTGCCAGGATCGTTTCTCCATCGCCATTTACGATCGACGCGACCACCTTGGAAGCGTCCGTTCACGGTATGATTGAGAAAAAGCAGCGAGAAAATATCGCAAAAGGAGGCAAGACGTAGAGGCGGAGGCGTAGATAAATGTAGTCGCGAGAAGACGTTGAAGGCGAACAATATCTGTCTGTATTTTGAAAACACGCGGGAAGAGAGAAACTTATGTGTAGGAAAGTCGATGAAAAAGCAGTAGCTTCAGGTCAACCAAGAGAGAGAGAGAGAGAGAGAGAGTTGAGTCCGACCAGAATGGACGAGACGGTTAAGAATTCCACTAAGGAAGCCATGCAAACTATCGCGAAAGATTACTCAATGGTGTTGGTAAGATGCGAGTGTGGCCACGGTGAATTTTTTTCAGAATCTCTTGTACAATACGTTCATATTCTTGCAACACTCGAGAGAACAAGACTTTGTAAAAAGCGCTTTTAATTGATTCATAAATTACGTCGCTGTAACCAAGCGAATCGTTGGAAGGGTCCCGATTGCCCACAGTACGACTGACCACAAATTGTAATGATTGGTTTGATCTAGTAACTCACTAGATAATTCTTATCATCGATTGGTTTGTGTGCAATCGTACTGTAGGCAATCGGGACGCTCCCGAATCGTTTAGTCAAGATTGATAAATAGCCACATTTGAAACAGGATAAAAACAGATCGACTTCTTCATGTTCGAAGGAGCATGAAGAGAAAAATCACGCGTTTCGATCTCGTGCCGAGAAAGGGGAGGAAAAATATTTGAAGAATCCGTTCGAAAATCGACGCGCAACAGGAACACGTTATTTTTCGCGGCGACGTTCGCGAGCAGCCTATAGCGATCCATACGTTGAAACGAACGAATGCGCGATACCGCTGTCTGTGAAAAGTAAGAATAAGAAACACTGGAATCCAGCGAATAACATTAACGCTGACAATCGCAGAATGACCGGAAATGTCAACATTTATATTTGTTCAGAGACTAATGAGAGCGGTCAGGTGAGTCGATCGAATAATCTTTCTCTGCCGGTGCTGTCGAAAGCACGTCGAGATAACAACAAGGTTGAAAAGTAACTCGTTACTTGTTACTTGTAACGAAATTGCAGTTACAGTTACATTTTTTCGGTAACTGTAATTCGGTAACTGTAAGTAACTTAACTTAGTTACTTTTTTCCCACCTGTAACTGTAACTTAACTTAGTTACCAATGTTATAACGTATCTAGATACATGTATCTTTTTGCAGTATCTAGATACTTTTTGTGTATCTATATTTGTATCTAGTTACATTTTATCTTATATCTGTATCTAAATTTATCATTTTAGATACAGATACGAAATAAAATTTTGATGATTTTATATATAATTGTTACTTTTTCACAAGAGATAAAGTTATTTCTATGATGTAAGAATATAAGGTGATGCATTCCGGTGAATGCGCAGTAGCTACCAATCAGAAAGTTGCCACATATGCGAAAAACCCAATGGCTCTCATCAGACGTAACGTTAACATAATATATTTTGTGGTAACTTTCTGATTAGTTCTACTCCCACATCCATGATGCGCAATGAAACACCTTGGCCGCGTTCCGTTTCACGTATACACCCGCATTTATCTACAGTTCACATCACATATACTGTAGGGAATGCGCGCATAATGTGTGAAACGGAACCCTTATATTCTTACATCATGGTTGCTTTATTGGGTGCGTTCAGCGAACTCAACAGTTGCACGACAGTTGAGTAATTCGTCAATGTAATTGGTCTAGATTTAGAGATCTAACAGTAAAAACCAATAATCGCTGATTGCTCACTGAGCGCTTTTTTCGCTGAACGAGCCTATTAGGTGCATTCAGTACTACAATCGCTCACTGAGCGCTCAGTGAATTCTTGTATCCCATTGACATATTCTTTTAGATCTAAAAATATGTACCAATGAAATATAAGAGCTCACTGAGCGCTCCGTAATCGAAGTATCTGAAAAGTATCTGAAGATATTTAGATACATTCTCAAAGTATCTACGTCTAGTTATTCATATGAAATTCGTATCTGTATCTTCATCTAGTTACACTTTTCTTACTGTATCTGTATCTATATCTAGCTATTTCGAAACATGTATCTGTTACAACACTGTTAGTTACTTATTTTTAGTAACTTATAACTTTTTTAACAGTTACTTTAATAGTTACTTATGGAACGTAAAATAAAATTAAAATTATATAGTAATCGTATATTAATTTAATAACCCAAATAGCACAGAGAATTAAAAAAGAATCCAGTCGTATGTCACCAATTCTGAGTTCATTTTTAGATGCAAAAAGAATTCTTCAGAGTTTAGTTCAGTGAAAAGAATTTTGTATGCATTTAAAAATGAACTCGGAATTGGTGACATACTACTGAATTCTCTTTAAATTCTCTGTGCTATCTGGGAAATTTATCAACGTATTTATGGAGTATGTGATTAAATTCTTTTACCTCTCACAAGACTATCATTAAATTTTTATTATATTAATAGATTTGAAATTTGTTAAGTGAATTGACTAATTAATGTGATAGATATTAATTATAAAATGCAATTCTTACATTTTAGTAAAGCTTAAAATATAAGATTTTTGTATTTATAATAATAATTTACAATCATTTCATGAAAGTAACTTAAAAGTAACGGCTCGTTACTTTTTGAGTAACTGTAACTGTAACGAGTTACTTTTCATAGCTAGTAACTTGTTACTGTAACTAGTTACTTTCAGCAAAGGGAACTGTAACTGTAACTAGTTACTTTTAAAAAGTAACTTTCCCAACTCTGGATAACAACATATACACATATATCGCGAAAGAAATCTATTATTTTAAACTGCACGACGAATGGATATATACGGGTGGATAGCGCGCAATTGTTGTCACGATTGTATACAATTGTATAAATGTAGGCAAAGGGCAAGCCAAGACTGAATGCTCCAAGCTGCATGGACGCAAGTTCCGATGCAAGTACCGAACTCCGATCGAGCTCGAGATACGTGAGTGGCAGTAGTGCGTCATTACGCAAACCGATAAATGACGTAAGAGAAAAACGGCAAAAAGTGTTACCATCCAATTCCATTCGGAATAAGGGAGAGAGAAACAGCATCGTCCGCGACAACGAAACGTGGCGCAAAACCCGCACAACGCAGACGAGCGATTCCAACGAGGATGGACGTCAGGTGGATGTCAAACTTAGCGACCAAGAGGAAAGCAAAAATGCAATCTCGTCGGTTCGTCCCAGCAAGGACCAATCTCTACCAATCTCGGCCAATCTCTACCAGCACTCGTCGAATTCTGTTGGGCTCCCGCGCGACAATTCTCAAGGCGCGTCGTCTTGGATCGCGATTTACCCTTCGGAAGCGAGATGTAGATGTGTGAATACCGACCTTTACCTGTCGAGTACGATCAACGTACCAAGCGGACGAAAGGATCGCCGTGAGAATGATGATGTCTGCGGAATAACGGATAGCGGATGTACCATGTACGATGCGATCGATAGTAGCGGATCGTTATTAAAATCGGCTGGCACGGACTGCGCCACGTGCTTCACCGACGATTCCGAGTGTCGAGATGTAAAGATGTTTCGGGACTCGATACTAAACCGTAGGGACATTCGGGAGAAACGGATGGGAGTCTGTAAGGCACATTCGATCGAATGTAATCAGCAGCGCGCGGCTCGGCAAAGGTCCACGTGCAGTTGCATCGCAGAGGAGGAGGAAGATTGCTGTACCAGCGTCGTGAAGGAGCGCCCGGTGAACTTGCGCCCAACGCGTGTAATTTGCAGCGAGCCGGCGCGAGACGCAACTGTGCGCGTGATCTCGCTCAACAATGCTGGAGATAGTCTCTCTCCAATATCTAAAAGTATATTTCGGGTTTCGAAATGTACGAAAGCGACTGCTGCTGCGTACGGAGCAACGCTTGAAAATTCGCAAGAATCTTCGAAAGTAACAAGAGTCTCTAAGAAATTGGCTGCTGAAGAGCTCCCGTTCTTAGGTATCGCAGTTTGCAAGACGATATACGCCGAACCAAAGGGACCGCCGGAAGAAGGAATGGTTCGCGAGACGGTCGCTTTGCGAAAGAAGTCCGACTTGGAAGCTCCAGACGAAGCCCTAGAGGAAACAATTTGTAAGATTCCTCACTTAAACTTTGCCGACCGAGACGTTGTTGAAAGGTTATCTGTAAACGATGCTAAAGATAAACTCGCGAAAGAGAAGAGAAACGGAACAGATTTAAACGACCGGAGGGAGAATGTTGTAGATTGTGAAAGAGTGACAGTACAGTTTGCTGACAGTTCGCGTAACAATGTCGCTCCTAATCTTGACAAACAACAGTCTGCCGAATATAGAAGGAAAAATGTTTCGTATAAGAAATCCAACGATTCACCCGTCTCGATCAGAGCGATCAGGGGTTTTAAACCATTGTCAGAAGGTCAAGATCCCATAAAGTTTTCAGTAGACGATCGGTCAAACTATTCCAAGAATAGCGAAGACGCGAAGGGAACGCTGAAGAATTCCGTTGATCGAGAAAAAAGAGTAAGGATGCGATTATCACCTCTGCTCCGACCAATGAGAAGCCATTTAGAGTCAGTATCGAAGTATCCTGCTGAGCGAGATTTTACATCAACTGACGGTAAACAGCCTAAAGAGAAAATGGCGGAAACGTCAAAAGAGGAGAACGACAAGAAGGACCGTCCGGACAAAATAGGATTGTTGACAAGAAATCCGAAAGATACGCCGTTATATCGCTCGCTGAAAAAACTGTTGGATTTAATTCAGCACCGTAAAGCCATAAGGCGAATGAAAGATGAAACGGAAAAAAATCGGAATGACTTGATGAAAAAGACGCAGCACGACGCAAAGGAGGACGATTCAAAGCCGAGGAGTATTCCCGAAAGGCTAGCTGAAATTAACGACTATGAGAAAGACCGACGAAACATTGGTGAAGCAGCATATAGACCAATGAGACCTTCGCTCGCAAACAAGCACGGTGAATTCTAAATTTATTTATGATTTTATATTTAATCACACACAGAGCCTTCTTGTGTGCGTGCACACAGTTATTTCTATTTTACGCTAAATTATGTGTCTGTTTTCTATTGCTGAACTAGTATACACTTTCGGAACTTAAAGACAGATAGATATACAGGTGAAAATTGGTGGAAGAAAGTCGAAAGAGAACTAGTGCAACCAGTTCATCAATAGAAAACAGACTCTATATTATACTCGAATATAAATGTAAGTCGGAGTATACTTGTGAACACACATACACATACACACGCACATACCCCTGCTTAAAATATTTGATAGAAAATGACTGGATAAGATTGAAATGGATAGAATTCCTATTCATTTGAATTTACATAGACGTTTAAATTTTGTAAAAATGGGTTCATCACTGTGAGTTTGATACACAAGTTCTCATACCTTGAATTTTTTTTCTTAAACGTTTTTCTAAAACGTCCGACCTTGAAATGATCTTTAAAGGTCATTTCGTCTCTTAACATAACTTTAAAGTTTCTATTTAAAAAATTCGATTTGACCTTTAAATGACCTTGAAGGTATAATAAAATAAATATATATATAATTACAACATTTGTTTATACTGACTAAATATTTATCCACATAGCACGTAATATTACATTATATCACAGTAATATTTCCGTAATATTGTAATATCGCAAAAATATTACGGAAATATTACTGTGATATTATATATATTACGTGTTATGTGGGTAGTTATATTTACCAAACAATTTAGTTGAACATATTATTGAATTAAATCTTAGTTACTATGATTAACGTTCTTCAGCGTGGCATTATATGTTTAATATATATATGTTTATATATGGAAAGTATTATATGTTCTTCATAATTTTGTTCCTCTTTCTTATATTTTATCATAATTTTCAATAAAAAGGAAATATATAAAGGATATACATTTTCTTTTCCTTTCTTTTAATATTATCCTGACATTTTATGGTATTAAAAGTAATATTATTTCCAGCACAAAGCAACATTAAATGTAATATTGACCAACCTTGTATTAATATTTGGTTGCATCATTTCTTTAATGTTCCGGAAAGTAACATTTTAAGATCAGAATAATATTCTTCTCACGTTTACAAATGTTACTCAAATATTTTCCCTAATGTCATATTTAACACGTCTTTAGACGTAACCTTGGTACCTGGGTTATATTTATCAATTATAGACAATACATGGTATATGAATTCACTTACGAAATTTCGTAAATAAGTGTTGTGAAACATGTGAATCAAAATCACCATAAAATATGATAGACAAATTTTCTATCATTTTCTATCCAACATTTTAAGCAGGGACATACACACAGAACGACGCGATACAGCACCTTAATTCAGTCAGTACGTATTAAATTATATATATAGAATATGTACATATTAGATTGCTATTCGACTTTATATATCGATATATCATGTCGATTACGTTCGCAGAAATAGTCGGGGATATTGCGTTCGAAAGCCAGAGACCGACTGCGACAGACGCAACTGAACTCTCCAAAGGAGAAGCCGAAGAAAGAGATATTTCTGATTTGAGTCAGACTGCACCCTCAAAGCCTAAATTATTGCGCATCATCTCGGCGAAAAGGTCGCGTCTTCGACCGACTAAAACGACAGCCGAGCCTAAATCTCCAGAGATCGAAACGAGAGTCGTTAGCGAAGAAATTGCCCGAACAAACGAAAGTACCGATCGAGACGAAATCCCGCTCGAGACTGCCCCTGCAAAAATCACAGAAGATACCATAGTGGCTGAGTCGACCGACATAAGCGTCCAAGACGCGGCAAAGGACACCGTCGCCGAAACACCGAAAGATATAGCGGTTGACGAGAACAGAGTCTCGGAGGGTATTGTAGATGTAACAACGGACGGCCTGCGGGAGAAAGTGGAAGAAGCGCCGCGAGAGCCTGTTTCTTGTGAATGCGGGACACACTTTGAGCCGAATAGTGGTTTGCGCTCAGTTACCGAGCGCACAGAGTGCAAAGACCTTCTCGAGGACTGTTTTCGCAAGTACAAACAATCGGAGGCGAAAGAAAGAGAGTGCATTCGCGCGCCGCCGACACAGTATCCAAAGAGCCGCTCCAAGATTGACAAACTGATACTTTGCACTGTATCGCCTTTGAGTCCACGCGTTTGCACCAATTATCGCGGAACAAGAAAAGAATGTAGGCAGGCCGTGATCCCTTTTCATTGCTGTAGACACGGCCAGGAATGCGGATGCGACATGTGTGAATGCAAATGCAGGTAGGTGTGAGAAATGCGCTCCAGTTTTTCAACATTTTGTACACATATGTAGTATGTAGCGTTAATTCGAGCGCTAAGATGAAAACAAAAACGATTTTATCAAGTCTAGACGGATGTAATGAAGTACCGATCAATCGTGTCGATTGCTGCAGAAGAAGAGACAAGCGTTATCGCGGCACCGAGAGCAGTCGCAATCGCCACAAGCCGATGATTTGTCTGTACTGCGACAATCCCCGGGACGAGTGCACATGCAAAGCACCGATCGGCAAATGTTCACGCTGCGGATTGCCATCGGATGTTTGCGATTGTCAGGACGACCAAGGTCACGATCGTGCTCGTGTTGTCGGATGTGCGAACAAAGGTGGATCGATTCGAGTCACCAGTTGGAAGCCGAAAAGGGAAGTCAGACGGTATTTCGCGAGAAACGATTTTGGGCCGGGCGCCATCAAAGATTGTCGCTGTCACGAGAAGCCAAAGCAACAATGGCCCGAAGAGCTACCTTATCAGCGGTTGAACGTCTTCTCGGATGTGATGAACGAACTGCAAAGGAAGATGAGCGAGTCCGTATGCTGCAGACGATGCACGAGGGATACTTGCTGCGGCGGGGACTCGCAGGTCAATTCAGGAAGATGAAGGAAAGGAAAGGAGGAGAGTCGAGGATTACGTGAGGTATGCGGTTACCGCGAGAGAACAAAGATTTCCTCCGCGATCGATCCCGATGGTAGATAAAACGTTACTGGGAAGTAGAGTAGCGAATCATTTGTTAGAGAGAGAATTCACTTTTCCTGCGCGCGTTGTGGCAATATATAAATCGAGAAAGAAGTCAAGTTTTGAGTCATCTTAAGCTGCACAGAGAAGCGTTTGCGATGGTAAATATTAAAGTGGCACGTTTCTTGTTGACGGAATAATAATCGCGTCGGACAAGCTGTATCAACAGTGTGTTGCCTCTTTGCTTCTTAAATATATTTACTATTTTGCACCATGCGTCCGACACAAACGCATTCCAATATCATTACTCAACAAAATCAGAATTAATTATATCGGTTACATCCCTCGTGGATTTCTTACGTCGTAAACTAACAGCGTAGATACTTCAAAGCGGAAGAAGCTAGGAGGAACTTGTCCTACAGATCAAATTCTGAAGACGAACGTGATTGAACGTCATTCAACATTGTTGCATCATTGATATCGACTCGATGTCTCGCTCGTTTTTGCCAATCATCGGCCTGCGACTGCGGGAAAAGTACAAGCGCAAGAAATCGCTGGCATAATATATTATTGCAAGAGTTTACCCTGCATGTGAGTGGATCGCAATCGTGCGCCCGTTAATGATGGAAATTTTCATTATAAAATATAATTTTTTTATAATTCAATATATGCATTCAAAACTTGAATAACGTTTAATTGGTACGATGAAGATTTTTCAAATTCGAAGTAATAGGGATATTAACGATGTTGAGTCTCATTGATGAGACTCATATATAAGAATCTCTGATATTTTCTGTTGTTGCTCTTTTACTGCATTCTTTACCGTAGCTGCATCATAGCGAGGTAGCCTGGTTGTCGAGGCTGCGTGCAGGTGATTCACTTAATTGTACGAAAGGGAAGGAGAGGAGAGGAGAAGAGAGGAGAGAGAGAGAGAGAGAAAAAAAGAGAGAGAGACGGAGAGAGATTAATACAAATACGGAATATCCGCGCGAGTGATATGTTTACGATTGTATATACGCGATACATCATATGGTTGATATGTAGAAGATGCTAACGAAATGGTTCGACGATACTTTGTGATACGATATTAATCTTTCTTCAGAAAATAAAGAGATAAAGACTTATACACGCGCATATGTATATTTCCATATACTTTTTGCATCACAAAAAATTCAATTGTTTTGGAATCGAAAAGTTCAAAACATATTCATACGTCATGTCATGTCACATGATGTGATAACGAATATCAACATTGAAATATAACGCACCTCGAATACAAATTACCGAACACTTGTCCAATATTTCATCGTTTATTCCATACGCGTCGATTACTTGAATGCATCCATACACTGCGTAAACTGTTGTGCGTCATTAAAAGCGTAATTTGCATAAGTAAGTAAAGAATGGAAGAATAGAAAAAGTCGCTATTATTTACTCTTGTATTTGTTTGCTTTTCAATGTCACAAGAAAGCCTCGTCTAACTTTTCAAGCGCACTATCGGTCGTAACTTAAGAAACAGACATTAGAAATTTATCCTTTGGAAACAATAATAATGACAATATGTTAGTAAAATGTTACGAAACATGGGAAGCGGGAGAAGGAGGGAGAGGGGAAAAGAGGAGAATGAGAGAAGAGACGAGATGAAAAATTTGGAAAATATCGTCGCTGCTCTGTCGTGGCCGGCAGGAGTAGGGGACATGTTGTACCGCATATAAGACGCTGAGGCCACCTCGTACTAGCTGTACACAAGTAAAGACAGAGACTGGGTGAGATAACACGGATCAGTAAGATCTCGTGGTTAGTCAAACTAGCAGTTGGCGTACGAATCCAGCGCAAGACAGGGCGTAACTCTCTTTCTTTCCCTTCGCTTTTGTACCGGCGCTGCATTCTACGGGTTCACGGGGGTTCACGGGACGAATCAGGTACGAGTCGACCACGAATCAGCTGCGGTTACGAGTCAGCCTCGCTTCAACGTTCTCGCCGCTTTCTGCTGTTAACTAAATTCTACTCGCCAACATCGGTGACTTGGGTGAACGTGGGAAACTCGAAACTCTTTTGCCGGTGGAGTAAGAAAGTGTTGCGATACTCGCTACTGGAAAAATGAACATTTTCACCGGGACGGATCGATTGCTCGATATACCTTGCGGAAAGTCGTCGGTTCTCCATGAGAATCGAGAGAAACTTGGGCAGGACAAAGTTTCCACACTTCAGGAACTCATCGATGCGCTACACGATGCTTTCAAGACGGATCTTGTGAATATCGATCACGTGCAGGAACTGATGACGAGCTACAAGAGCAACCCCGCGGATTGGAAAAAATTCGCCAAGTTTGACAGATACAGGTACTGTATTCGCGCGTTTGTAATCACCCAATATTTCCCATTGATACACCAATTAATCGTTGTTTGCGCTACGTGCACGATGTACGTGTGTGTGTGTGTGTATGTGCGCGCGCGCGCGCGTGGGTAAAATAAATTTCGATTTATTACATCTTAGATAGATGGTACATACACCAGATTCGATCAGAGATAATTATCAATTACAAAGATACTACCTATCCACGCGAAGAATTACGAGCCACGTGTACGGAAGTGTGTTTCGGCTATTTATCGGCTAGTTAAACACTGACACCGCAATTACGGTACTATTGTGACTCGAGATAACTTGTAACGGTAAGTCAGTTAGGAGCATTCCAGCACATTCTGACATTATTACAAACAAAAACTCGGACAAATATTTTCGGTAAATCCCACATTTTTCGAGCGTAAATAAAATACGCACCATATCATCACTAGAAGTTGCAAAATGAAATTACCACGACAAAGTTCAGGATAGGTTATCGCTGTCTATTTTCGCCCGTTGCCGCGCGTCTCTCTCTCTCTCCCTCTCTTCCTCTTTCCCTCTCCCTTTCTCTCTCTCTTTCTCTCTCTCTCTCTCTCTCTCTCTCTCTCTCTCTCTCTCTCTC